TTGTTTCTTCCTCTTGAGGACTCAGGCACATCTCAATGTCCTTTCATAATGTCCAGTGGTTAGTCAGGCCAATTGAACAGCCAGCCATGTGCCAGGCACCCTGAAAGACCGAGCTGCCTGCCCTCTGCCCCAGAGGCCTGCCAGGCTGCCAGCTCCCGTCTTCTCCCTCACCGCTCTTACCAAGACTACAGCCCCAGAGGGGAGGGGACTTTGCCGGGGGTGCAATAGGTCACATGCTGAGGAGAGCGAAGTGGGGGCCAGGAGAGGCAGTCAGTATGAAAAGCAGACTGTCTCAAAAGATAAGAGGAAGGGGCCCTCCCAGTGGCGCAGCGGGTTAAAACACAGCTGGTTAAAACTAAGAAGCTGGAGCCACTTCCACATGAGTTGGATCCATGCCCTGGAGGTGATCACATGGTGCATGAGTTCCATCCATGCTCTGGAGGTGATCACATGGCGCGGCAGACCTCTCCTGACACGCCTACTACTCCCCTCAGCAGTGCCTGTTCTGCTCCCCACTCTGTCTCTGGTGAGTCCTCTCACCGCCCCTGTACCTCTGGCCTATACCCCAGTTCTGTGTGCATAAATAAATAAATCTTAAAAAAAAAATAAGAGGGGGCCCTCCCTGGTGGCGCAGCGGGTTAAAGCCCAGCACTGAGAATCTAAAGCCGCTTCCGCATGAGTTCCATTCCCGCCTGCCCCGGAGGTGACCACATGGCGTGGCAGACCTCCCCTGACCCGCCCGCTGCTCCCCTCAGCAGTGTACTTCGTCGATCTGCCTGTTCTGCTCCCCACTCTGTCTATGGTGAAGCCTCTCACCGCCCCTGAGCCTCTGGCCTGTACCCCAGTTCTGTATGAATAAATAAATAAATCTTTAAAAAAAAATAAGAGGAAGAAGAAATGGAAAGCAGGAACAAAGAGGGAAGGAGGGCGGGAGGGGATTCTGCCCGGCAACACGGAAGCCCCCAGAAGGCCAGGCACCATCTAAGCCTCCAGGAGGTGACGTGCAATCGGTGACACACGACCAGCAGGCGCCGGAGCCAAGAACCACCGCCGTTGGCATTGACGGGAGGGCTGGTGGGAGTGCCCAGGTGGAAGGTTGCTGTGGTGGTTAGACTCGGATGCACGGGCTTGTCCTTAGAGACGGAACCTGAGCCTCTCCCTGTCAGGTGAAGCCCACCCAGAAGACAGTGGTATGGGGCCTCAGTGTCACATGGCCGGACCAGAGCCCAGAGCCAGATCGGAAAGGCTGGTGCAGAGGCAGCGGGCGAGGTGGCTGGGCTGTGTAGCGGAGAGAGTGGAGCCCCGCGGGGAGCAGCACCCGCAGCCTCGACAGGTGGTCAGGGTGTGGACTTGGGCACCCAGAGGCCCAGGCTTGAACTCCAGCTGTCTGCCACTTCCCAGCTGTGTGACCTTTGTGACTTCACATTTTCACACCTCAGCTTTTCTGATAGGCAAAAGGGGGATGAGGAGCGTGACGCCTACTTGGTGGTGGTCACGTGGGTTGAGGATTAAATGGTCTGAGGAACACAAGTTGCTCAGAGCAGAGCCTGGCAGAGAGCACTCAACAAACAAAGTGCTGACTATTAGGTAGCAGCAGGGAAAGTGGACCAAGCAGAGGGCGGACACTCTAGGCGCCCGGGAGTCACACTGGTCACTCGAGAGTGGCAGGAACAGGATGCGGAGTGTCTGAGAGCAGCAGCGGCCTCTACCGCATCGGGGTGGTCGCCTGACGCCCATCACACACATCAGTTCAACGGGCCCCATGGCACACCTGTGCCCCCCATAGTCACACTTTAGATGTCACTTGAAAGATGGGGAGATGGAGGTACAGAGGCTTAAGCCGTGAGTGGGGCAGGGAGAAGAGGAGGCCAGTGCAGCCATCCGGGTCTGAGGCTGGGAGAGGCCTAGTGGGAAGGAAGGAGGAGCCGGCAGAGTCCAGTGAGTCACTGGAAAAGGAAGCGTCCGACTGGACCAGAGACCCCAACCCTGCAGAGGGAGGGAGAAGTGGGGAGCTGTGCAAAGACGCCAGCCAGCTTGGAATGTGGGGAGAGAACACACCCATGTGGGGAAATGCCGAGTCGGTGCAACAGGGACATGTCCAGGTGGAAGGGAGAACAGGTGGGCCTGGAGCTGCGGGGAGAAAGGCTGAGCCAAGCAAGGGGTGGGGGATGCGGCTGGCTGCGTTAGCGGAGGGGATGGCAGAGAGCAGAGGGGTGAGGCCAGGCCTGGGTAAGAAACAAGAGGAGGGAGGGAAGGAAGATGGAAGACAGCAGAACACTGCTAGCCTCAGCTGAGTCCTGACACCCCACACGCGCCCCATCACGGCCTGGGGTGTCAGTTCTTAGAGGAGGAGGGGAGCGAGGAAAAATCACTATGACTGGACACCGTGTGGTTCACACAGGGCCAGGATACCTCACCAACCCCCTGCTGCAGCCCAGGGGGCTCAGAGCGAAGAAGCGACTTGTCCGAGCTCTCCCCGCTGGCAGAGTCAGAGTCAGGACTGGGCCTCACCGGGCACTGTGCTCCTCATGCCACAGGGCAGAGGCTCAGGAGCGAGGAGGGGGTGGCTGAGCTCCAGGCAGGACTCTGATTCCTCCTCCAGCCCACACACCCTCAGGCAGGTTCAGCCCCCAAGACCCCCCTTGGAGGAAGGAAGGGGTCTCTCTGCATGCCTCTCTGAGACTCAAAGTCAAACAGATTACCCCCCCACCCCCACACCCCC